GGGAAACCTCAGCAAGAATGTTATCATGAGCATCACTCGCACCCAGGACATCCTCTGTCTGCTAGAAGGCTGTTCTTTAGCTCTAGGGGTAGAGGGAAATTAATTCCCAGAAGGCCTTCCTTCCAGAGAGAAGGATGCTGTGGTGCGTAGATTACACTGCCTGCCTGAAGGAAAGAGCATCGGGACTATTTTGCATCACACTGCAGGAACTGAAAGGCCAGCATTTAGGTCACCCCAAAATCCTGTTGTGTGTTAGAAGCGTAAGTTCCCGTCTCCTTTCAGCAAAACTGGCCTCATTGCTTCTTTTCACCAGGGACTGTTTATCCCGGCAAGTAAAATTTCAACATCTCTTTGCCCAAACCAGATTTGAAAATGGCATCACAGGCTCGTAATCTAATCAGAAGATTATCTTTCCCATCATTGAACTCACCGGGTTTCATTCCTGACATAAGACTGTAATTTATTCCCCACATATTTTGTTCCATCACTCGCTTTTGACCGTGATTGTTTTAGAATTACCAAACAGATAATACGTTTCTTTTGTACAAGGCGGAGAGAGTTTTCATTCATATGAAAACTATTTCAAATTTAACTACTCTATTCCACAGAACAAATGTAGAGTCCAGTCGGGCACCTTTAACACCAACAAAGGTTTATTCAAGGTATGAGCTTTCGTGTGCAGGGCCCACTTTTTCAAATTTCTTCTGCTGCTTCAAACCCACACGGCTGACTACCTGGATCGACACTATTTCACATTTAGTCAATAGAGGAAAACATGAAAAGACAGAAAATATATTAATATTCACTTACAAACAATTTTGAATCTGAAGTAAATTTGCTATTGTTTTACAGGAAATTCTGACAGAGGATATGATTTATCTATCAAGGACAGGTCCCACATGAGATACGGTTTAAGGAAATAAGGGCTAGTCCCTATATTAAATGTAGCAACTCTTGAGAAGAGTCTTTAGAAACCAGGAAAATAACATTACAACATAAAGAAAATTTATACACAATACCAGTTAAGTTGCTTCTGAGGAAGTTAAGAGACGAAACCAAGCATAAGCCGGCTGCTTTGTCAAGAAGCTCTATATTCTTTTGACTGTTAACAGCACATGTTTTGGAATTCCACTGGAATCTTCTGGCTGTTGGCAGCAATTGATATTTTGTTGTATTACCGTGTTATTGTATAACATTAAGATAGTGTATGATGAGGTTGTATACCTTGTGAATATTTTGTATACTTAGATACTATAATCAAGTATAAAAGTAATTGTATTAGCATACATAACTAATGTTTAAAGGTTCCCTTGCTCGAAAGCCAGTCGAATCCGACTCTAGGGTTGCGGTGCTCATCTCCGTTTCAAAGCCGAAGAGCCAGCGCTGTCCGAAGACGTTTCTGTGGTCATGTGGCCGGCACATGTTTTATTGGACTGATATTGGCCCCAGTTTTGTTGTCTTTGGAGTCTGGATACTGGGAGGTCTGTTTTTTGTTTTTTCTAAAACTAGCATGCGGGGGGACTTTCTTCAAGATTTTTCTCATGGCTCGTGTACACGGGTGGTGCGTACATGGGTGTACACGGATTTTTCTCACTGGCTCGTGTACACGGGTGGTGCATCATCACATTGCCCCATGGGAACTATAGTTTGGTTTGGACTCACAAACCACCTTAAAATACTAACTGATATATTGAGATAATTCATTTATTTATTAACTTAGGTTTGTTAGGCCTGCCAGAAGGGTTCAGGGCGGCTCACAACAGGACAGATACAATAAATAATGCCGTTAAAATCAACGTTGAAATGCCTATATTATCTCAGGAAATAAAACAATACACATCCCAAGATGGCGGAAGAGATAGATAGATAGACAGAAGCTCTCAGAGGTTACAGAGACTTGACAAGTAAGCTGTGTTTTACAAAGTCACATCATTTCAACAGAGGGTAGCCTAAATTCTGCCAGGGACCAAGGCTCAGCCTCCTCCTCAGGGGAGCAAGAGGTAGACTTGGACAATGAACACGTGAAGTTGACTTACACTGGATTAGACCCTCAGTCCATCAAGGTCAGCCTTGTCTACTCAGACCGGCAGCGGCTCTCCAGGGTCTCAGGCAGAAAAGGGTCTTTCACATCACCCTTTCGATGGGAGGTGCCGGGGAATGAACCTGGGACCTTCTGCATGCCAAACAGATGGTCTACCAGTGAGCCATAGTGAGGAGACTGAGGGTCTGAGACCAGCCCAGAACATGGAATTCACTGCCGCTGGAAGTGGTGGCGGCTACAAACACAGACAGCTTCAAGTGGGGATTGGATCAACATATAGAGCGGGAGCAGTCAGGGGCCATTAGTCACAAGGAACAGATGGAAGTCTCTGTCTGGGGCGGTGATGCTCTGTACGCTTGGGGCTTGGGCGACTACAGTGGGGGGGGGGGTCTGGAGTTCTGGCCCCACTAATGGACCTCCTGATGACACCTGGTATTTTTGGCGACTGTGTGACACAGGGTGCTGGACCAGATGGACCAGTGGCCTAATCCAACATGGCTTCTCTTATGTTCTTACAAAGCATCTGAGACACCTCTAGGAAGTGTCCCAAAACCTCTGATGCCCTGAGATACCACCTTCCTCTTCAGAACTGAACTTTGGACACACACACCCCATCCCAGAGCTCACTGAAGCCCATTGAGTCTCTCCCCAAATGACCACTCAAGCCTCATAGAGCCAAGAAATATCTCAACCCCAGCAGGGTACTTGCTGCTGTAATAACCAGGCATAGCGCCTTTAAGAACCAGCTGCCCATTCTAGAGAGCTGCATCTTGCATCTCTGCGTCCTTGCAAGGAGGACTGAAGGCCTCAGTCCTCTTTCAGTCTTTGTTGGAACAACCCTGAGGAATTTGTGCTGTTAACTCCCTGGTCTTGACACGGGGACTATCCAGCCTTGTAAGACATAGGTCAGGGAGGTCAAATTAAAGAATGTTTGGGTGTCTGCTGACCACAGAGAAGCACTCCAGGGGGAACATCACTGAATCCGTGGGTATTAGATTGTGGGGAGTTGTGGATTTGGCGACATTCCCTTATTGGACTGTGAAGTTATTTTAACATCATCCCTTAAGGAAAAAACCTTACCTTTCGTTCCCCTTTTCGCTTGCTTACATGGGTTGCTGACAGTGGGTGGTTATGGCTAGCAGGGCCCAACCATGCCTTGCCTTTGTTCTAAAGATACATTTTGGTACCAGGCGCCGGGGTCATTTCCTGAGGGAGTGCACAGGAACGGAGCTCTGGCAGTAAGGAGCCCAGGGGGCGGGCACATGCAACAAGCCCTGCCCCCTGCTCCCAGCAGCCCTCAGTCGGGCCAGGAGGAGCAAGAAGCAGCCATGTAAGTTGCAGAGCCCTCCCCCCCAGCCCGCCTTCAGGTACAAGCTCTCCCTCCTCTGCAAGGGCAGATCTGTGTGTTTCCCACCCCACAATAGCTAGCAATCCAAAGCAGTCCAGTGGAGCCTGAATGGTGGGTGTTGCCTTCTGACACACTTCCGGTGATGTCAGGGAGTGTGCCATATGCAAATGAGTTATGCTAATAAATTATGCTAATGAGCTCCTGCACCTCTTTTTCTACGAAATGACCCCTGCCAGGCGCTGTGACGTTATTACAGTGGATCAAAGTTTGAGTCCAGTCAGGCACCTTTAAGACCAACAAAGTTTAATCCTGGGTTTAATTCTGGGTATAAGCCTTTGTGTGCGCTGACACTTCATCAGATGACATCATGGGGTGACACTCTACTTTTTGGGGAAACTCTATGGTAGAAGCTAATTCTACCATAGAGATTTGCCCCAAAAGCAGAGCGTCGGGGGCCCCCATGTGCCTACATCACTTCCAGGTCATGTAGGCATGTCATGTTTATTTTCAGCATTCCTTCCCACTCCTGGTAAATTCACACGCACACCATCCCCCACTGGCAGGCCCAAGGGACATGGGGCAAGATCCCCACGCTGAAGTGGCCTCGGAGAGTCGTTGTGAGTAGGAAATATTGTAGTTGATCCTACCCACCACTCCACTGAGCAATGTCTCCAGCCTTCCTCCCACTAATGTGGCAGTTCTGTCAGAGGAGACGCCTCTGAAGTGGGAGGAAGACTCCACAGGCCGGAGGAAGACTCCACGCAAGA